GTACCCAAATACAACTACAATAAAGTGGAACAGCCCTACTGAAGTGGTACCCCAATACAACTACAATAAAGTGGAACAGCCCTGCTGAAGTGGTACCCAAATACAACTACAATAAAGTGATACAGCCCTACTGAAGTGGTCCCAAATACAACTACAATAAAGTGGAACAGCCCTACTGAAGTGGTACCCCAATACAACTAAAATAAAGTGGTACAGCCCTACTGAAGTGGTACCCAAATACAACTACAATAAAGTGGAACAGACCAGCTGAAGTGGTACCCAAATACAACTACAATAAAGTGGTACAGCCCTACTGAAGTGGTCCCAAATACAACTACAATAAAGTGGAACAGCCCTATTGAAGTGGTACCGAAGTGGTACCCAAATACAGCTACAATAACGTGGTACAACCCTACTGAAGTGGTATCCCAATACAACTACAATAAAGTGATACAGCCCGACTGAAGTCGTACCCTAATACAACTACAATAAAGTGATACAGCCCGACTGAAGTCGTACCCTAATACAACTACAATAAAGTGGTCCAGCCCTACTGAAATGGTAACCAAATACAACTGCAATCAACTGGAACAGACCTGCTGAAGTGGTACCCAAATACAACTGCAATAAAGTGGAACAGCCCTATTGAAGTGGTACCCAAATACAACTGCAATCAACTGGAACAGACCTGCTGAAGTGGTACCCAAATACAAATACAATAAAGAGGAACAGCCCTGCTGAAGTGGTACCCAAATACAGCTACAATAAAGTGGTACAGCCCTGCTGAAGTAGTACCCCAATACAACTACAATAAAGTGGTACATCCCTACTGAAGTGCTACCCAAATACAACTACAATAAAGTGATACAGCCCTACTGAAGTCGTACCCTAATACAACTACAATAAAGTGGTACAGCCTTACTGAAGTGGTACCCAAATACAACTACCATAAAGTTATACAGCGCTACAGAAGTCGTACCCCAATACAACTACAATAAAGTGATACAGCCCTACTGAAGTGGTACCCAAATACAGCTACAATAAAGTGGTACAGCCCTTCTGAAGTGGTACCCAAATACAGCTACAATAAAGTGGTACAGCCCTACTGAAGAGGTACCCAAATACAACTACAATAAAGTGGAACAGCCCTCCTGAAGTGGTACCCAAATACAACTACAATAAAGTGGAACAGCCCTCCTGAAGTGGTACCCAAGTACAACTACAATAAAGTGGAACAGCCCTACTGAAGTGGTACCCCATTACAACTACAATAAAGTGGTACAGCCCTACTGAAGTGGTATCCAAATACAACTACAATAAAGTGGAACAGCCCTCCTGAAGTGGTACCCCAATACAACTATAATAAAGTGGTACAGCCGTACTGAAGTCGTACCCAAGTACAACTACAATAAAGTGGAACAGCCCTACTGAAGTGGTACCCCAACACAACTACAATAAAGAGGTACAGCCTTCCTGAAGTGGCACTTCAGTACAACTACAATAAAGTGGTACAGCCCTACTGACCCCATTACAGCTATATTTAAATGGTACCCCAGTAACAGCTATACTGAAATGGTACCCCAGTTACAGCTATACTGAAATGGTACCCAAGTTACAGCTATACTGAAATGGTACCCCAGTTACCGCTATACTGAAATGGTACCCCAATACAGCTATACTGAAATGGTACCCCAATACAGCTATACTGAAATGGCACCCCAATTACAGCTATACTGAAATGGTACCCCAGTTACAGCTATACTGATATGGTACCCCAGTTACAGCTATACTGAAATAGTACCTCAGTTACAGCTATACTGAAATGGTACCTCAGTTACAGCTATACTGAAATAATACCTCAGTAACAGCTATACTGAAATGGTACCTCAGTTACTGCTATACTGAAGTGGTACCTCAGTTACAGCTATACTGAAATGGTACCCCAGTTACAGCTATACTGAAGTGGTACCCCAGTTACAGCTATACTGAAACGGTACCCCAATACAGCTATACTCAAGTGGTACCCCAGTTACAGCTTCCACAATACAGCTACANGGGGTGGGGGGGGGGGGGGGGGGGGGGGTGTCAAGGGAGACCCATCCCTTTATTTCCCCCTTAAAGAAATTAAGTGTCGCATGACCTAGGTATAACTATGAACTTTAGATAATAATTCATTTCGTAACATTCAGGTGGGTCGGAAAAGATATTGACGTGTTATAATGCCAGTTAACTATACCTGTATTAATTGAAACATCAGCCTTAATGCTTCACTATTGACAAAAGTATCGTCTCTATACGACATTGTAATAACTAATATATCCATATCAACTATCGGATGTTTAATTGAGGTCTTTTAGTGTCACTTTTCAAGAGGTTGATATTTTGGACGACTATTTCGGGGGCTTGTAGAACCTTACCTTAGCATCTTTTGAAAAAGGTTACCAGTGTCCAATACATCTATCTTAATCCACTGTTACTACTTTATATAAAGTTCACAGTAATGTCCACAGTACACAGTATCTAATGATGACGATGGCCACAGTACATAGTATCTAATCATGACGATGGTCACGGTACATAGCATCTTATGATGACGATGTTCAAGTATCCAGAAAGGTGTATGCGTGTTTCCGATGACAATAAATCCCGTATTGCAGAAACGGAGCGATGATTTTTCACATGTTCACACAGTCATGAACAGCTCCATCTAACACATCATACGCCGGTTAACCGGCCGTTACTCCAGGAGTTCCTCACGTCTCGGGGAGGTTCGGAGTGAGTAGCTCCCGGCCCGGTAATGGCAGAGAAAAACTCGGACCACTTGAGGTATACTGTGTACGAGCTTTAGTGTGTATTGGGTGTTGGCAGAGATTACGGAAAAAGAACGGTATGTAAGGACCGTCAATTGTGTGATCAGGCGATCAAACGTGTATAGATTTAGAATATAGAGCACCACTTCTTCACCGGGTAAACTTACTTATACAGATATAGAATTTGGAGCGCCACATTTTAAATACACCCTATTAAAGTATTCAGAATAAAGAGGAGCGTTGCTATCTGTCATTTGTCAGCACATTAACCCTGTCCCTCCGTGCTGGACTGAACGAGAGAGCATCAGGATTGATTGATAAGTATACACTAGTATCGACCAGTAGATATTGTTAACTTTTAACAGTGACAAATACTCTTTATCTTCCCTGATCCCCAAAAGTCACTACAGTGACACAATGACAACTATCAATGTATATATTGAACACCACTTACTGTCTGTACAGTACTACATTGAAAACCATTTACTGCCTGTGCAGTACTACATTGAAAACCATTTACTGTCTATACAGCAATTCATTTAACACCATTTACTGACTTAACAGTAATACATTGAACACCATTTACTGTCTATACAGTACTACATTGAACACCACTTACTGTCTGTACAGTACTACATTGAAAACCATTTACTGCCTGTGCAGTACTACATTGAAAACCATTTACTGTCTATACAGCAATTCATTTAACACCATTTACTGACTTAACAGTAATACATTGAACACCATTTACTGTCTATACAGTACTACATTGAACACCACTTACTGTCTATACAGTGCTACATTGAACACTACGTACTGTCTATACAGTACTACATTGAACACCACTTACTGTCTATACAGTGCTACATTGAACACCACGTACTGTCTATACAGTACTACATTGAACACCACTTACTGTCTGTACAGTACTACATTGAAAACCATTTACTGTCTATACAGTTATACATTTAACACCATTTACTGTCTATACAGTACTACATTGAACACCACTTACTGTCTATACAGTACTACATTGAACACCATTTACTGTCTATACAGTACTACATTGAACACCACTTACTGTCTATACAGTGCTACATTGAACACCACGTACTGTCTATACAGTACTACATTGAACACCACTTACTGTGTGTACAGTACTACAGTGAACACCACTTACTGTCTATAAAGTTATACATTGAACAACAATTACTGTCTGTACGGTAATACATTGAACACCATTTACTGTCTATACAGTACTACATTGAACACCATTTACTGTCTATACAGTTATACATTGAACAACAATTACTGTCTATACAGTAATACATTGAACACCACTCACTGTCTGTACAGTACTACATTGAACACCACTTACTGTGTGTACAGTGATACATGAAATACCATTTACCGTCTGTACAGTTATACAGAGAACACCGCTTACTGTTTGTACGGTAATACATTGAACACCACGTACTGTCTATACAGTACTACATTTAACACCACTTACTGTCTATACAGTAATACATTGAAAACCACTTACTGTCTGTACAGTACTACATTGAACACCACTTACTGTGTGTACAGTGATACATGAAATACCATTTACCGTCTGTACAGTTATACAGAGAACACCGCTTACTGTTTGTACGGTAATACATTGAACACCACGTACTGTCTATACAGTACTACATTTAACACCACTTACTGTCTATACAGTAATACATTGAAAACCACTTACTGTCTGTACAGTACTACATTGAACACCACTTACTGTGTGTACAGTGATACATGAAATACCATTTACCGTCTGTACAGTTATACAGAGAACACCGCTTACTGTTTGTACGGTAATACATTGAACACCACGTACTGTCTATACAGTACTACATTTAACACCACTTACTGTCTATACAGTAATACATTGAAAACCACTTACTGTCTGTACAGTACTACATTGAACACCACTTACTGTGTGTACAGTGATACATGAAATACCATTTACCGTCTGTACAGTTATACAGAGAACACCGCTTACTGTTTGTACGGTAATACATTGAACACCACGTACTGTCTATACAGTACTACATTTAACACCACTTACTGTCTATACAGTTATACATTGAACACCACTCACTGTCTGTACAGTACTACATTGAACACCACTTACGGTGTGTACAGTGATACATGGAACACCCTCTACCGTCTGTACAGTTATAAAGAGAACACCACTTACTGTTTGTACGGTAATACATTGAACACCACGTAATGTCTATACAGGAATACATTGAACACCACTTGCTGTCTATACAGAAATACATTGAACACCACTTACTGAGTATACAGTACTACATTGAACACCATTTACTGTCTATACAGCAATACATTGAACACCACTCACTGTGTATACAGTACTACATTGAACACCACTTACTGTCTATACAGCAATACATTGAACGCCACTTACTGCCTATACAGCAGTACATTGAACACCATATACTGTCTATACAGCAATACATGGAACACCACTTACTGTGTATACAGTACTACATTGAACACCACTTACTGCCTATACAGTGATACATTGAACACCGCTTACTGTGTATACAGTACTACATTGAACACCACTTACTGTGTGTACAGTGATACATGGAACACCACTTACTGTCTATACAGTACTACATTTAACACCACTTACTGTGTATACAGTACTACATTGAACACCACTTACTGTGTATACAGTACTACATTGAACACCACTTACTGT